TACGGTCCACATCGAAGGCCATGTACGATGGTCCATAGGAGCCTCTTCCCTCTTCTTTTCTCACTCTAGATCCTCATAGGACACGTCAAGGATGCTGGAATACAACCAGATACAGGAAGCAAAGGGAACTCACAACAAACACAGTAATTTACTCAAGCCTTCCTGTGTTCACCCTGCCAGAAATCAAGGGAGACTGGGAAAGACCTCTCAGGTTGTGAGTGGCATTGCCACAACACACACACACACAAAATGCCCTGTGGGTTTGCAATGCCCCAAACATACACAAAAGTCTGTGGCTCCCTGAGCACCCCCATTCCCTCCCCAGTTCTCTGCTTGACTTTATTAGACAGTTACTTGTGCCTTAAACTCTCAGATTTCAAGATCCTTTCACACACACACACACACACACACACACACTCCTCTGCAGTCTGGTCAGCTCAGTAAGGTTCATCTCAGGAGTTGCTTTCCCTGGAGAACCTTCCTTGACATTTCTCTGAACAGAAAAACCCAAATTGGGCTTCTGACGCTCCATGTCCAGCTAAGTGTTCTGCTGAGTTACCAGGAGTCATTCATGTCATTCATGTCGGACTGTTGATTGTCTTAGAAAAGAGCATGTTTTCCCAAATGCTCAGGATAATTGTTGGGCTGAACTGAACACAGGGAAAGAAAATACTGATTTACAGCAGAAAACTGCTTGCATCTGCTCCCCTGTCAGTGCTCTGTGTGTGATGGACTGGCACCACCACCCATCACTGGAGCCAGAACGTGTCTACTGCTGCCCCATGTGTTTACAAAGACCTCTCCATTGCGTTGCCTACCTCTTCGTTCTGGCGCTCACCGTCCTCTTACATGAACTATCTCAGAGTCTCTGCCACCTGTTCTTTTGATTGAAAACCCCACCTCTATTCCACCTGCCAAAAAGAGACCCTGCTCGTATGATGCGGTCACTCACCACCACCCCACAGCCAAACCTGCTCTGCAGCACCTCTTCCCAGCTGGTGCCAAGTGGAAAGTGAGCGAGGGAATTGGGCATCCTGTCCCATCTTGGAACAGGTGAACAGAGCCTAAGAAGTTCCCAGATGTTATCTCTAGCTGCAAGCATTCCAGTGTATTTATCTCTATACCCAGCCATGTTATTTTCGGAGTGCACCACGATGCAAAATGCTTTGGGAAGTATTGCCCGAGTGACTGACCCCCTTAAGGCATTCTCCTTCTTAGCATGACTAGAAGTCTCTCTGCCTAACTCTTCCTCTGCTTAGCACAGCACCCCATTGTAGCCCCAGGTACAGTGCCCTGGCTGCCCCTTTGCCTGGGACCCTCTCCCCATTTTCTCAGCCAGGCTTACTGTTTTAGGACTCTTCTAAGACTCACCTGGATTTGTAACTTCTCCATCCTTTCCCCCACATCAATCTTTTCAAAGTTGGCTCTAACAGAATTAATATGAAAGGAAATGACAGTAAAGATGGGTCTCATGGGAGTGTTTGTCATTCAATTGATTTCATTAAACCCAATGTAGGAATGTGACTTTCAAACCAGAAAAGTCTCCTTAAAGGATGAAATGTCTGGGTTTTTAATTCAAGGTCAGTATAATCCTCAGCATTATTTTCCCTGTTTATTCATTCTTGGCCATTTGAATGTTGTCATTTTCAGAATCAATTCTGGATTCCCAAAAAGCTTGTATTCAGGATTTAGAATCGCAGACTATTTTTGCTTGCTCCTGAGGGTTGTTTGGAGGAGATAGCTAATTAAAATATCTTGGCGGCTATCCCTTAAGGCATTCTCTTCTCCCACACCAAGAGCTTTCCAGCTCACATCCTTGATATTTGTCAGATGCAGATGAATGTGAAAGACAAAGAGCAACAAAGGGAACAGAAACTCAACAGGGAGCTGCTGCAGCCATGAGACTCGGTCTGATTTTATTTATTCCAGAAACATTTATTGACTACCTACTGGAGTATTTTTCTTAATTAGGGTGATGTTTATTCTCTATACCTTTTTGTATGCCTGAGATGTTTCAACATAAGAAAGTGTTTTCCAGTCAAAACGGCTTATCCATGGAATGAAAGATGGGGGTCAAGCGCGGGGTCCTTCTCTTTCTCATTGGGAGGTGCTTGCTTATAAGCAGGTACTCAGGAAACACCAGGAGTAAATGGGGATATCTTTGACCTGAAAAGATGGAAGTCTCAGTGTGGCATCCTTTCAACAAAAATTGCTGTTGTCAATTTCAAAGATTCATTTTTCTGCCTAGTTCAAAAATTACTGTTTTTCACAGAGGGAGGGGCAATCGTATTTTTTTAAAGATTTATTTATTTATTTGTACAGAACTGGGGTACAGGCCAGAGATGCAGAGGGTGAGAGGATTCACCAGGGACAGAGTGGGGAGCAGAACAGGCAGATCGATGAAGCACACTGCTGAGGGGAACAGCGGGCGGGCTAGGAGAGGTCTGCCTGGCCATGTGGATCTCCCCAAAGGCAGGCGGGGATCGAACTCATGCAGAAGCGGCTTAAGCTTCTCTGTGCTGCGCTTAAACCTGCTGCACCACCAGGGAGGGCCTGGGGAAATCTTACTTTTATTAAGCACTTCATTCTGTGCACTCAGGATCGTAATTGTGCTTGTTTTTCGAGGACATTTGTCCCTCCTCAGATTCAATATTCATAGCTCATATTTGTAACTAATCATCAAAACAGGAATTCTATCATTGTAGACAGGCTATTACCCATCTTTTAATCATTTATGTACATACATCCATATATACACTCATTCATACACACATTCATATGTACACACTATGGAACCAACACTGATTAACCTGGGTTATATACATTGAGAGATGTAGAACATTTTTATTTCAAGTCATGTAACCCTGTAGGTGTTACCTTTGAGAACACACTGAAAACACCCCTTGTGAATAAAATGGGGTGACGTCTGTCGGACTATTGATTGTCTTAGAAAAGAGCATGTTTTCCCAAA